AAGAATGCACGGTGCAAACGAATATTCAACGACCCCAGAGTACCAAGTAGGAGTATATAGAACTAAGTAGGGTGCCATTCTGGGCGCCTTTTCAGGCAATCAGGTTGTCCACATTACATAGACAGACATCTTATTTAAACCTTGAGTCCTCTTGACCAGCTCTGACTGGACATTGAGCTCGCAGCTACCCAGCCTTTGCAGATCTCTCTCTGAAATACCACGATGCTCAGCACCCGATTGCTGCAGCCACGCTTGGGACTGCTCTGACAATCTTGTCGAAGCCGTCGAGATCACCAGCGTGCAGTTTTGCGCCTTCCCACAATCAAGGGACCCATAGAGCTGGAGAAACATGGACAACCATGGGCAAACTCATGATGGAATCGATGCCACGTGAACAACTGAAAAAGTGGGGGATGCAACAAACATAACAAATTTCAATATAAACGTTGGAAACGAACTAGGATTGTAATAATCAAAGAAGTGGCCAACAACATCCTCTCATGATCCATCCGTTCGTCCAAAAACAGCCCCAAAGGCCTTGTGTACCTCTTGCGCCACCTGGACGAAGCGCTCCGCGTCCTCAACGATGTCGATGCCGTCGATGCCGTCGATGCACCGCACGGCCCGGTGGCCGTCCAGGCTCACCAGGTCGACGCCTGCGGCGGCAGCTGCCAGGTCTGTAAGGTGTATAGGCTAGGGCCGGTGTAGAGATATAGCGACCTTAGAGAAAACAACGTATGACTTATGTGTAGAAGAAGGTTTAGCTATCTTTCGGACTAGGCTTGAGAATTCGACGGGGTGCCAGTCGGATTTTAACAAGGCAATTGAATAAAGGTTAAATTAGGGCCACGTGGTCTTTGCTCTATGCTTTTTTTCGATCATGGGCAGGCTTAGTGAGGGAAAATGCTGTTCAATCGTAGCCTGGGCAGAATGCTTGCCTTCGACTTCGGCATCCCTGCCTGGATGCCTATGAGTGACGTTCTGCCGCTCCCAGAACCACGGTGGAAGCTCCTTGCCAGGCGCCAAACGAGAAGACGCTTCCAACCAAACCACCTTCACTGCGAAATGCAGAATGCAAAAGGAAGTCTTAGACTCAGCCCTAACAATCCTTATACATCATCTCTTGAAATCTTCAAGTCTTCAAGGACCCTTTGCTCTTGCAAGGCCAGGGCCTCTCACCGGTGCCAAAACGCTCCTGCAAAGGCACCGCATCCAGCTCGATGGCCGCGGCCCACACCAGCCGTTGCTGCGGAGTGAGCCAAGCCCAGCTGAGCGCCTCGCGCGCCAGGCAGCGCAAACGCTCCATGAAGGCCACATCTCGCTCCTCTGAGCCTTGCGTGGAGGAATGGGCAAGAAAACATTTGAAAACCAACATGGACCCTGAAAGGTCCATGTCAGTTTGCACGAGACCATTCACTTGAGAAGAACGAACAAAATGATGTTCAAACTGTTATATATTTGGCTATGACTAGTGACTATAGCGCTGGGCCACCAAGTGCGGTGCGACACAAAACAAAGAGGATGCTCCGTGCTGGGAAAGCATTGTCTTCAAGACGAGGTGCTGATGGAAGAAGGAGCTGGGCTCGAATCGAGTAGAGCAACATAACTGACAGGAGATGACAGGAGCGCGAGTAGAGTGTCTAACCTCCCACGTGGAGCCTGCTTCACCAAGTGCTTGCGAGGCTCTCACTTCAACAATCTTTGCCGCCAAAGCATGTGGCACCCGCCAACTGCCCGTCCTCTGACGGCTCAACTTGTAACTCGAGATCGAACCGACAATCGAAACACTATTCCCTATGACATTAGGATAAAACACAAACCAGTTGGCCAAGTTCGGGAAGTTGGAAGTTCTAGTTTTTAACGGCCAACTCTAATTTTAAAGTGTCCAGTTTCCGAAGCTTCAGTCCTTGTCACCCTCTGTGGCGGATGAGGACCCATCCGATCCATCCTCCACCACGCGAAGCCGGCCTCCATCCTCTCAGCCATCAGCCGCATCGCGCCCAAGACCCCGACCAGGCCGAGGAGAAGGTGGCTGCCACGGCGTCCCCGCCTTCGCTGTGCCATGAGGGCCCATCAACGAGGTGCTTCTCAATCCGCCCCAAGGTCCTGAAGACAAGGCGGCAGCACTCTGCGCTCGGGCCGGTGGCTGCAAGCTTGGCACCGTTGGTGCAAACTGTACTATTTACATAGATGAATTGGATGCGGCGCTCAAGAAAAATCTCATCAGGTTGGAGAAAGCAGGCTCCAAAACTGTTGGTGCAGACTTAACAGAAAATGTACTGTGGATAGTTTTGATCTGGTGCTGGAGAATCTGATGCAAATTTCTGGTCACACAAATCAATGATCGCTCAAGTTGCAGAAAGCAGGCTCGAAAACTGCAACTCGCAACTCTCTGCGTGAAAAAATGGTATCCTGTTTGCCCATCTCTTATCAGGTCAGAGCGCTCTCTCTCTCTCTCAAATGGCTCCCTCCGAGGCAGCGGCTGAACCAGCTCAGTGGCTGGCCGCGGTCGAAGCAGTTCCGCCGGGGAGGATGGCCTGAGTGGAGCAGCGCCAGCTGAGCTTCCCTGGAAAGGAGCAACGGGTTCCACCACAGAAAAGTCGATTCAATGCATTTTTCTGTTTCCCTTCCACTCATTTTGACGGAGACTTTGGAATTCCATGAGCAAACCGACCGCAACCCGTCGCGCCACAGTCTGGGAACATTTTGGTCCAGCAAGACGGTCCACCCTTCTCATGGCCAAGTGGCACCATAAGCCCATGCAAAACCACCAGCATTGTTTTACATTGTCTCGGGTGGCGGGGATTCAACACGAATTCTTTTTGGATCCATTTCGATGGTCTTACGTCTGCGGGGAAGCCAATGGT